GGGCCGGCAGGGGAGGCACGGACGGGCCCACGAGGGAGGGCCCCAAACGCGGGGACAGGCCCGACAGCTACCTGCACCCTGGCCCCGGGTTCTGAGTTCCCGTCACTGTGTCCCCTTCCCTCTTGCAGGAGTCAGCGTCCCGCACGCGCTCGTGATGAGGAGGGGTCTGGCTCTCCTCGGCCTGGCCTTCCTGTGGCTGCTCCCGTCTGGGCGTCCTCAGCAGACGGCGGAAGACGCCTGTTCCCTGCACATCCTCGTCCCGGGCCTCAAAGGTAACCCTGACCACGGCCTCCCGTGTGTGGCCGAGTGCCAGCTCAGGGTCTGACCTCCATGTGCCTCAGTTTCCCCATCTGCAAAATTAAGGGTTGGACTACATAATGTGCACACTTTCTTTGGCCAAGAGATCCTGTAATTCTGAAGCTACAAGCCACTGCTGACGTGTGGTCCATGCACCACACACGTTATCGCAAATGACTTGCAGAGTGAGATCTCATCTGGCCCATTTTTTTATGTTTACTTATTTTTGAGACAGAGAGAGAGACAGAACGTGAGTGGGGGAGGGGCAGAGAGCGAGGGAGACACAGAATCCGAAGCAGGCTCCAGGCTCCGAGCTGTCAGCCCAGAGCCCGACGCGGGGCTTGAACCCACGAACCACGAGATCACGACCTGAGCCGAAGTCGGACGCTCAACCGACTGAGGCGCCCAGGCGTCCCAGCCTCTGGTCCATTTTGCAGATAAGGACATTCAAGGCCCAGGGACATTTAGCAATTTGCCAAACAAACTGGGTCACTCAGCCTACGAAGCCAGTGCTCCTACGCCAGTTCCTGAGAGCTCTAAATTCCTACTTTTTTTTTTTTTTTAAATTTTTTTTTTCAACGTTTTATTTATTTTTTGGGGGGACAGAGAGAGACAAAGTATGAACGGGGGAGGGGCAGAGAGAGAGGGAGACACAGAATCGGAAACAGGCTCCAGGCTCTGAGCCATCAGCCCAGAGCCTGACGCGGGGCTCGAACTCACGGACCGCGAGATCGTGACCTGGCTGAAGTCGGACGCTCGACCGACTGCGCCACCCAGGCGCCCCACTAAATTCCTACTTTAAAAAACAAACAAGCAAAACCCCCCAAAACTTTTCTCTTGTTGATTTGCATATAATTTACTCCCGGTGGAGCTTGCCTGGCCGAGCCGGTGGGGGTTGGGCACCAGCACAGGGGAAAGAGTCAGGGCCCTCAGACTGGCATCTTCATTCAGAAAAGGTCCCTGGTTTCTCTGTAGCTCGGGCAAGAGATTCCACAACGTGATTCCCAAGCGGGATCCACCATTTGACGGCCCCAGTGCAAGATGCAAATGTGGGCTTCTTGTTCAGAGTTATAAAAAGACTTCAAATCAGGGCCAGGGCACATGCCCCACGTGGGGTGGGCGAGCTTGGGCCTCTCGCTCCAGGAGCAAGAGGCAAGGGCGGGAGGGGCCGGCCCACGACTTGCACTGATTGCCTCGCGTGCCCCCGAATTCCATTCTGCTCCCTTCCCACTCGGACGGTGCGCACCCCGGGCCCCAAAGCCTGGTCTCTGCCGGATGGGACTTTTGCGGGAATGCCTGCGGCTCTCCCCACGGAGATCGTTGGAGAACACAGACTCACATTTAGGGGCTGTGGACCCGTGACGAGAATGGCTGCCACCAAAGTCAGAGCCAGGTGCCTCCTGAGACCTGTGGGAGGCGAGGCGGTAGGCCCCAGCTCGGCGTGGACCAGGCAGGAGTCCCCGGGGAGCAGGACAGGGTGGGGCTCCTTGCAGGACCCGGATGCCGTGCTCCCAAGGGCCTGTCCTCTAGCAGGTAACAAGACACGTTTGCAGGTCGTGTGGAGCCGTGTGGGATGTTTCGGGGCCGCGGAGCGTGTCTACCAGACGTGCTGGTCAAGCGCAGCCCTGCCCCAGAGTGACCGGCCTGGCCACCCCAAAGGGACAATTAATTCCATAGAGAACGCCTTCTCACACTCACCGAAGTCCTTACGACCTGGACGTCCCGCTTTTATGTCCAGCCTCATTGAGGTTTAACTGGCAGGTTGTATGTGTTCAAGGGGACGATTGAACACACTGAAACCTTGTGAAGTG